CACGGGGAGCCCCCCCCCCCCCATAATCCTTACACCAATTAAAAATAACTACCATGTTGGGCTGCAGCCATCGAATACTTTTAGAAAGGAGTATTCTACTGGTTGTCCCTTCGATTAATCTGATAAAATAAATTTGTCTTATATTAAATTCAATAAAATGATTGAAAGTATACCAGCATCCCAACTGGTAGCTAACTAGGCAATAGCTAACGATATTTTTGTTACCGTTAGTTTGTGATTGTAGCCGCACTATTGTGTAAGCCAGTTGTGCTTTGCAGCAGACACAGTTGTAGCTTCTTTCTTAAAGTGTGAAATAATTCAAAATGTTGGACATTCTTTGTCTTTTATGGACTATTTCCTCCGGATTAGTCTCCATTGCGCCCACTAATTTCAACACGGAATAGTGCACGTGTCCGCAGTAACATTAGCCCATGCGGAGAAATGATCCATATGAAGCTCCGAGGCAGAGATTTTGTGTTGTGTTGGCCTTTTTTTTAAAAATAATAATCATAAAAAGATGTAATTTTCTAAGTTAAAGTTTTCATGTTATTTTATTAGTCAAAGTTTAACAAGGGAAGAAAGCCATATTTTAACATGCCTTTTGTGCTAGAGGGAAAAAAAAAGATACTCTCCCTGAAATTTTTTATTTTTTTTTTATCTTTTGTTCAAAATCTTTATTTTTAAATGAATAAAGTCTATTACATTGTTCATGCAGGGATGTCAGATTCGTGTGCTGATACATCACGTTCGTATCAATGCTTTTAATAGGCCCAAAGCTCAGAAGGGGAGGTGGAAATTATTGGTCGCCAATCTCCATATGTAGGTTTGGAAGTTTTTTTTTCATGTTTTTTTTCTAATACGACTTACTGTGTATTGGTCATTTTGCAGACCCTCTCGCGCACCGCCATCCGATAACCCCCGTAGTGTAATGTCAGGACTGCACCCCCACTGTGGTCTGTGAACAGTTCACTTGAGTGCTTCCTGCTGTGCACACATAACACTGTATTGTACACACGGAAGCACTATGCATAATGAATTGTGCTTTCAGACTTGATCACAACTTGAATCTCTTTTTCCAGTGACTCCTCAGAAGGCTTTGATCAAACCAACCAACCTGACAGTTACCTTCAAGGTCCGTGGCAGTAACCTGACTGCAGTCTTCAACTGGCATGTGCCCGCCGGACCATCTCGGCGTCAATTGACTGGTTACCAGGTGACCCTGGTGGAGGTCACGCCAACCAATCGACTCAGAGATGACAACATCTCCCATTCGCAGATCTTAACCCCGGTCAGTACTTGAGCACAAGCACGTGGGGTGTTCCACCATTGGACTTTTCCTATACTCCGCCCCAAAAGGGGATAATATAGGAAAATTTGATTCATTTCACATTAAAATCAAATCTAATTTTATTTAGTTCACTGGAGCATATTCAGCAATATTTTGTAACTCTATAGCTATGTTTGTTCTTGACAAATTAGCTTTGCGGCTAGCACGCAATCGTCGACATTGATTTACAACCCTGATCATGTAATTTGAGTTACGGGGATATGAAAAATGAGTATTCAAATAAAATGATGTTAACTGTAAAGTATTACTTTTACCGTATTTTGAAATCGATTTTTTTTCCAACTGGCTGAGTGCCTGTGACAGGGTCTTACCAAACACTGCAAAAACCATATGACATACATCTCATAAAAATTGTACTGTTGATGAGTGAGAAGGATGAGTCAAATGATGTGGTTTGTTACCTTTTTCTTGAAAATGTAACAATACAATAACCAATGTATAGTCAGTTAAAAAAAACAAAAAACTTGGTTCCCAAGTTGTCCTCCAATTCTGGAATGACCCCTATGCAAAATGTTGCTTTGCTTAACTCACCTCCCCCGCTTGCTGTGTTTCCCATCACAGGACGTTAACGTTCTGGCAGTTTCGGACATACGCCCCGCCAGTGTCTACCGGTTGGATATCCGGGCTATCGCTGCAGACGGCGAAGGTCCAGCCATCAGCAGAACCTTCCAGACTCCAGAATTCCAACATGTGCTAAGGTCTAGGAAATACGATTGATAATCAAGCAAGATGAGGAATAGTGCTGCAATTAGTCAGTCGCTCAGAGGAGCTGACCTGACAGCTATTTTGGGATGCGAAAGCATTCAAGGTGGTGTTAAGCCTCAGCTGCTAACAAAGCACCTAAGACAAAAGCAATTCCAAACGCAGAAATGCAACAATCAGTCTTCCTTCAGTTGTTCCAACTTTGAAAACGTATTTAATTTCCTGTTGGAAACCCAAGTGTTGTTGGCCTTCACTGTCCTATGCGTCACCTTTGAATGAAATTACAAAAACATTGTAAAGTGGTAAAATTATTCTTGTTAGTGTATGTTATGTATATAATGTCGAGAGTAGTTGTGTTATCTTCTGTCCAGATGTGTCTACGAAGAGAGCTATTGTACAAAGATTCAAAACGGAACAAAATAAATCCTATGGCCGCGTGTAGTTCATACTTTCTTGGATTCACCCTTTTTTTCCTTGTTATATTGCACTCAGGATTGTTCCATCCCCCCCCACCGGGTTCTTAGTGCGCACCAACTCAATGCTCTGAAATGATTGCAACAGGCTTCATTGACTTGCACCTGCACGCCACCGCACTAAGTGTAGCACATAACTTTTTGGGCATCACGGATTCCCTTGCATCAGCTCGTTCGACTATGTTGAAGAAAACGAAGGGTGTCAGTTGTCCTTCCAAGCCCCCTCAGAACTCTGTCTTGGTCCAGATAAATCAAATGGAACACGGCGTGCATGCCGAGGGACGTGCTTTCTTCATCACTTTGTCCTGCCATGCGATGCCCAAAATATGTGGCAAAGATGGGAACTTTATCCTGTCTGGTGTTATGTTATCCCTAATCAGGGGTGTCAAACTCCTTTTTGCCGCGGGCCACATTGTCATTACGGTTTCCCTTGGAGGGCCTTTACGACTGTGAATTTTGTAGAACCAAATGGTGAACCACCTCCACATATTACATACATAGCGCACAACAAATTGATGGATAACTTGTTTTGAAATCAGAAGTCAAGAATAATGGCTTGTTCAAATCTTGTTGTCATGGATTAGATATGACAATTTGAAATTTGGATTCAGACTTTAGCAAGCATCATGGAAGTTGACATGCTTGATTTGCTTTCGCGGGCCACATAAAATGATGTGGTGGGCCAGATCAGACCCCTGGGCCTTGACTTTGACACCTGTGCCTTACACGCTCTGCTATCGGGCAGGGCGACAAAGCACGGCTGCGTGGGGTGCATACCTTGAGTTTGGCCACACTTTTGCTCAACTTGTGCAAGACGGCAGCGGCATCGGCAACGCGCCTGTCAATCTCTGAATCGAGAGATAAATTGCTCGTCACGGTCGAGCCAATTTAGGCAAAGTGGTCAGTGACCCCCGAGTGCCTTGTTGTTTTCGCTGATTGATGGAGGAGCTCGGTTTTGTTAACCTCCACCGATGGTTGAAAAAGCAACTTAATGGCTCATTACCGCCACCAGCTGATAATGGGCCTCATTCACTAAAAGCGCGTATGGACAACAGCGCATGCACGCCGGATGCAAAAATCTGTGAAAAAAAATACAACAAAACAACTGCCGATATCCCTATAAATTTGCAAGTCAAGGCACTCCTGTCTTGTCTTGTCTGTTTGTTTCTGATAATGCGACTGTGAGCAAGACGTTACTTCAGAGTGGGGCTAATTTCCGATATAACGAGCCCTATTCGGAGTTTCTCCGCACATGACGAGTAGAATCAATGCTGTCTTCACAGTCCCCTTTTTTTTTTTAGTGCAGCCACCTCAAGCTTCACCACCAAATTGTCATCGTAATAAAATTCACACTCATCATCGGTCCAGCACTATGTAGGTCAGGATAAGGATTGGCTTTCCTCATAAGACAAATGGGCTAATTTCAGCAAGACAAAATTAAGCAGATGTAAAGTGTGATTTCAATCTTGCGGTATTTGGGCAATAAGCTTGTCACAGACGTATTTTAAATGAAGACATAAAAAAAAAAAAGAAAGGCAATGTCCCCTTTACATGTCATTCATATTGCTGGCAGTCCACGTGGCTACAGGGAAGGCTTTCATTAAAAGTATTTTTTGATATGCCACACCAGCAGGATTCCATTTCACAAACGCCGCAGAGGGGAGTGTCTCGAGAATGACCTGTAAAATATTCATGTTCTCTCATCATTACATAAATGATGCATATGCAGTAGACAAGAGGATATTTTTGACGTGTCCTATTTGATGCTAAACCAAATACGAATTGTGTGGATTTGTTTGAATAAACTGAAAATCCCGTTTTAGACGGAATATGAAATACTTTGGGGTATATTCAATGGAGTGAATTGAAGCTTCAACGTGAAAACGCAATTAATGCCCTTGTCACATATCTGCCGGAGGGGAGGGGGGGTGCTGATATTCCCTGCTGGATATTTGAGTGACACATTGCGACAGAGGTATTTTAGGTTCAATTACAAAAACAGACAGTCAGCGTACTTCCTTTTCAGGGCTATGCCAGTCGCAATTTCTAATGTATACTTATCAAATCTTTGGGGATTACTGTGTCACTATTTCAAAGTGAGTCGAAGTTATATCTGGCAGAAGATAAACCGGTTGCCCGAGGTGAAGATTTGTTCATTTTCAGCGCTCCGCCGCATTTACCTTTATCCCTAAAACATTCAGACATTGTCGTTCCACTTATCTAACATGTTTTGAAATGACATCTTTTTCAATTTGCTTGAGCTAGTTGGGGTCGATGGTCAATGTATTTTGTCTCTTGATTATTGCAAGTCACTTCCACTTTTCTTCACTGTTAATCCGAGGTGCCAAAAGAAATTGGATAAGATACTTGTGTAAAAAAAACAAAAACCTCCTTGACAACTACAGCTCCCATGCATGCGATTGAGAACATATACCGCCCGGCTGGCCACAAGCGCAAAGCAGAAATTCTTTCGTGTCGTCGGTGCTCAAGGCCCAAGTTTGGCCCACGAGCGGTGCAGTCGCATTGCGAAGAGTCACCAATTTCGACATTTGAGGTATGAAGTATTATTGGAGCCAACAACATCGAGCAATTTGTCACTCAGACCACGGGTGGGCAATATTTTAGCTTTTCTTAATCTGCTGCGGCATTGTCATGAATGCTCCCCGGTTCACGATGTTGAAAATTGATATCTATAATATGAGGTACTTTTTTTGCTCCAATTCAATTGACGTTGTGCTGCTAGTTCTGATGTATGCACCTGCGCCTCGTGTGGGCGCCACAAAACAAACACATGGGAGAATGTAGATGTTCTCCTCTCCTTCAATACTGGTCGTTCTTCACAGAGGATAAAGAATATATGCATTAGTATTGTTTTTATCTGTCCACATGCGTTGCCCCACTTTACGCGTTCAAACACGATGACACCGATGCTATTTCGCTCGTCTATAGCCTTTCCCATTATGTGTTAGCATTAAGCTAGCAGACTTTAATGCAAACTTATGAGGTTTATTTAAATGCACAACGTGAAATATTTTTTTATACCATGTCATCATCCACAGAGGTAACAAAAAAAAATATGAACATGCCTGTTTCGACAGACGAAGGACTTCAAAGAACGGATATCTGCTTTCAAATCTAAGAAGTAAAAGTCACATGAAAAAAGAACACGAAACCTGAAAAATGTATCACTTCCCAACACTGGAATATAGCTCCACTTTAGACTAGCGCTCAGTTTGAAAGGCTTCCCATAGCCCTTAGCTTTCGTTTCCTTGTTTAGCCCGCTGCCAGCAAAGCCGAGGGGGTTGAGGGTGCCATGCTGCAGCACGGAGGCAGACTCTCTCTGCCCTTTTCAGCTTGGGGCTTGCGTTCACCAGCACTCGCTTCTGCTGCAGGCTGTGAATCTCATTTCTGGCTGAGACCTCGGGAATGTTTCAGTGATCTGTTCGGGAAGGAGATTAAGATGAAGCTTCGCAGGGATTGATCGAATTTGTGAAAGGCTAGTTTTGCTTTGAGTGCAAGGCATTTGACTGTATTAAGTTAGGCCAAAACAATACGACTTTTTTTCCCCCCAGTAGGCTGGGCTGTGAAAGTTGAGTGAAGTTTCGAAATGTCCACGTGAAAATTGAATCCAATTAAAAACTGAAGGAAGCTAAGAGTGTGGGAAGGGCATTTAAGGGGAGATCTATCACAATAACGCGAGATGAGCAAGGCACCAGCAAGTACCTCAGAGGGACCATCGGCTCGATAAGTAGCCTGCCAAACCGCGAGACAAACTGCAGATCATTAAGTGCCCGTGTCCTGATGATCGATTTCAGAGTGCAACAACAACGTTGTTGACTTTACCTTTGAGTGGGAAAAAAGTACGCATTTCACAACCAAATTCAAGCATTCAATTCAAGTGTTCTGTCGTTTTAGTTTGAACAAACACATAGTTGGAACAATGCCGAGTGTAACGACATTATATGGATCTTTCGGTTGCTTAAATACACAAAAACCTTGAGATATGGGATGGATTCCTTCCGTGACCACCTTCGTAACGCAAAGCAAGAGGATCCCAAATCTCCCGCCGCCCCTCCCACCTCATGAGGAAAATATCTATAATATTGAGTATATATTTTTTTTGCTTCAATTCAATTGACATTGTGCTGCTACTTCTAACGTACGCACCTGATGTTGACACTACAAAACAAACAAAAATATATATGTAGATGTTCTCTTCAGTAAGTTGAACAATATTGGTCGTTCTTCACAGAAGATAAAGAATATATGCATTGAGCATTGTTTTTATCTGTCCACATGCGTTGCTCCACCTTATGTGTTCAAATATCGATTGCTAAAAGGGTGATAACACGGTGACACTGATGCCATTTTTTCGCTCGTCTATAGCCTTTGCCATTATGCGTTAGCATTAAGCTAACAGACTTTATTAATGCAAATGTACGTGGTTTATTTAAATGCGCAATTCTCTTTGTGTCTTGACAGTCAACTTCAACTGGGAGTGGCATAGAACAGCTTGACGCCTCTTTTTCAAAGAATTGTTCTCTATCTGCAAAAGGAAAAGGGTGCATAGACACACCTACACAGATGTATACCGAACCGTTTATTTTCATATCATTTTCATAAAAGCACTCTGACTAACAATGCAGTCCCACGAGCGGGTAGCGCACTGCAAAGTCAGCTTCTCAAGGGGGCCTGCCTGTTTAGGGATCCCTTTAACTGCCTCATTAGCGGGAAGGGAATTCAGCAGCACAATGGGATGAAATATTACATCTGAGCTCGGGAAGAGTCTGCCTCCGATGCATCGTCTTAATTTAAGAGAAGTCATAACGAAGTCTCATTATCAGAAGCAGTAGGTAAGCTGATATAACCGAGGGGAAAAAAAACAAGTATTCTAACCATCCCTGCAACATCAACATGTTGACTCCACAAAATCGAATGCACTGTGGGATTCCTCGCTGAGATGAGGCAACTCGTTCTGAGAATGAAACCCCGCCGCTTTCAAAGATCAAAGCCTAATTCGTTTGCGTTCTTCCTGAAATATATCCCAATATGTGTGGAGGAAGAATATCACCTTCTACCCGGAGGGAGAGTTGTTGCTTTCACTTCCTGCACCAAAAACCAAATGCAGAACCCGCTTATGGTCTCCAACCTCGCCAGTTCTTTGAAGTCAAATTCACACCATTTGTTCCGACTGGCATCCCTTCTAGCTCATCCAACCCTCCGTCTTCAGGAACCTCATGGCGTCATCAAAACCCTCCTGACAGAGGAACTGCATTCTGTCGGGTGGTGGCGGGAATAAAGCTTGGTTCAGTCTTTTGAGGTTTTCCACGGAGAACTGCGGAGACCACAACAATGCGTCGCAAAGAGTCACAATCACAGAGCGTGTGGCTTATCCAAACTAGGTTTACTGTACGGATTTGCGATCGTAACTATTGATGAGTTTTAAAATGTGCAGTAGTTGGCCCCATCGGCTTTGTGAGCTGAATGAGGAGAAAAAAAATATCTGTTGATATACCCTTATCCCACAGGGTCGGGATGCTATTTCAGAGACGTTTGTCACTCACACCTTTGCTGACAAAGTGCGCAAGGGAAGGAAAATGCTCATATTGGGCCCTATTATCAGTATGTGTGTATCCCACTTCCAAATCATTTGTAGATATATTTTAAGGTGAGATGGGTCAAGGTTTCGGATACAAACCCAAAACTAAAATTTGACATGACTGCTGGTGAAAAGCAAAAACACTTTTGGTGTTCCAGTGAACGCTTTTTGATTTGCACCCCAACTACAACTGCTATGTATTAAAATGACGCTTTTCTTATTAAATGATAAATGAAGAAAAGCGATTAAAACCTACAGCCAGCATACACTGTTATGAGCTATAAATGCCACAAAGAGGTGCTTCTGGGCTTCACTGTAGACAAGTCAACTTTGACATGTCTCGAAACACCCGCAGGGCCTGCCTACGTTTACCACCGCCTGTTAAATTTAGAACACGATTTGAGCTCTCGACGTGACATTCTTTCTTCAACTTTGATAATGAAGTCGTCGACAGCTGTTGAGAGTCTAAAAATTATATGACGGACTAGAGCTTTTTGTTATGCAGGTAACACACATATAGACACAGTGCATACTTGCATCCGAACAATTGCCATACGTACCATTATGTTCATGTTGGCCAGCCTGAGTTCGGTCTTGAACGCGCGGCCTTTGTGCAACGGACTCACATCCTGCCGCCCTGCGAACGGGGACACTGTGATGGTTCGGCCCACAGGCAGGATTGGTAAGCTGTCAGTGAAGCCTCCGTCAATCCATTTCTACTGATGAACACAGATGGCATACATACAGCTAGAGTGAACAACAGCAAAAAAAAAAAAATCACATGCTTCAGCTGTGACAATGCCTCGTACCTCGCCTTGGAAATTTATCGGTTGGAGCCCAGCATAGACTGGCACAAAGCTGCTGGCCAGGAGTGCCTTAGGGAAGAGACAAAAAGTTATAAAGACCCATATGTATGGGTCAGGGTCAAAGACAAATAAGCGTTGAATGTTTGAGCTTAAACTGGTTGAAATAGTGTCAGTCATATTGTGTGGTAATTTTTGTCAACTGGGTCTTTGTGTTTTTCAAAGTCTACCGAGCTGTGATTTGTTTTTGTCTTTTAATTGGACTGAAGGCAGTGGTAGTGGTTATATTTTGGATGATGATGTGAAGATAATTATTGAATAAACAATTCAGATGGCCCAGGGTGTGTACCCTTTGTGCATGCAAAATTGGCTGTCATCACTTGGATCCTCTTTGCATTTGTGCTATGGGCTTTTGTGATGTCCACAGTAGTGCTGGTTGGTAGCTAACAATGAGCGGTGACAAATGGTGAACAACAACAAAAAAAAGCTATGTCTGCGCTCGGGTTTGCTACCAGAATACCATGAAGTTCACACGATCCCAATACACTAATTTCCCACATACTCCCAGTTTTCCTGGGAAACCTATTCACAGCAGTTTATAAACTCAGCAATTTGATATATGTTTTGATATGCCCTAAGATGTCACCCAATGATACCCAAGTCCTGAATCATAGAGAAGCAGTACACTGGTATCAAAGCAGTATGTTGAAGTGACACACCTTGACTGAGAGACACATTTTTATGCTGGGGTGAAGCTAACTTTAGCCTGGGTTGTTCGTGGAAGTTACTTTGCCACGTCCTTTTTTTTCTAAGCTATTTACCTTTCACTTGTGACGGGGAAAACGAAGCTTCAGATTTGCTTCACGAACCAGTTGTTTTTGTTTTTGTTTTTTTTTGCTTCCTCTAGATACGTTGGGCTGACAGCACACTGACTTGCCATTTCTTAAAACCCCTTTATTTAAACCAACAATGCTATTTAGAGGAGTCAACAAGTGAAGCAAATTGGAAGCTTCATTTTCCCCTAACTACTATTCAGGGTAATGGAAGAAGTGATATTGAACCATTTTAAGATGACAGTTTTTATTAATATATGCAATTCTAAAAGATTTGTGAGCGTATGGCAAATTACTAGCCGAGAGAGGCGTAATATGTTGAGCATAGTCATGAAAAGGTGTGTCCTTTTCAGGGTGTTAATCATGGCTGCACTTTACATGCTCATAGCTATGGAAACAAATAACGGGAAGTAAATCTTTGTGTCCAAATTGGACAAAGCCAAATCATCCCAGGGCGTTAAACTCAGATGGTGTTTGTTTGTGTGCACCTGTATGAGCTCCTCTCTCGAGTTAAAGCGGGACACAATGAGGTTCTTGCCACTTCTGGAGTGCGTCAATGAGACATGAAGACGGTCAGATGCCAGAATGTGCGCATCAACTGGCAGCATCTCCTCAATCCCTTCCCTGCAAAGTGGCAGATACTTGAGTCAAATGCTTTGGTTTTTTTTCTCTCCTGCTTCAGTTGCTTCTGTCTGTTGTGAGGTTACCGCAGATTGGACATGAGATTATATCCAGGTGTGAGCGCTCCAAATTTCTGTCGTCTTACGTTCTCAGCAAAACCGTAGGTAAATTCTTTGCAGTGCTGCAAGACAAACAACGGGGCAGCAATATGTTAACAAAATATTAAATTATAAACCACTTTGATTTTTATTTCAACCAGCTGTGACAACTAGAAACGCACAGTGGTAAAATTCAAGGCTGAGATTGGAAAACAAATTTTCTGATATCATTTCAGTGTTTCGAATGTTTGAGAAGTGGTTGAAAATTGTGACAGATGGTTGACAAGGAACATTTATTGAATTATTCTTTTGTGGCTCACTTGCGTGGGACATTTGTGATTATTCAATACACTTCTCAAATTCAGTACTCCACAGTGACATTTATATCTTAACAATGGCTAAATGCTAATCGCGTGGTTTTGCTGCGCGACGGTCTTATTTTAGTGTCACGGTTTTATTTTGAAGCGTGCCTTTCATGGCTACATTGTTTTTACACTGATGTTGAAATAGGACTGCAAAGCAGACTGGCAGTGATAATACCTGCAGTTGTGTATAAAAGCTTGCATTGTGGAATACGCCTTGCCGTCTGCTAGAACCCATGATACGCAATACGACAGTAAAGTGGAAGAAATGTAGGGAATTGTTTGACAACGCACCAAGAAATCCACAAGTATTTGTAAACACCACAAATTCCCAACATGCACAACCTGCTGCTGTGGTGGGCCCAAGTTGTTTGTTCAAGTTTGGCCAAGCTTTGCAAAGTTGCAAACACACCAAGCGAGAGTTTTTTTTTTTTTCTATGGCTGGAACTACCGTTAATGTCATCACCCAGTGTGTCCTCTGACAAGAGTGAGGACGTAAATTGGACTTAACTCCAATGTGACTCAATTCCACTGTATCCTACTTTTTTTTTCTACCCGCAGGTTCTTCAGGGTTTATTTAATTATTTTTTGAATATATGGGGTGGGGGTACTCTGTACCCCTGAGGCACTATATATTTTACCCATTTTTGCATTGTTTTGTTCATCTAAATGTGTTTTTGTGTAAATCATGTATGCTTGTCTATAAGTGTACATTTTTATCCTGTTTTAAACTCTTGTAAAGTGTCTTTGGGTATGATGATAAGCGCTTTCAAAATAAATGTATTATTATTATTATTATATGCACACCCCCAAACCCCGCACACCAGTCAGGCGAGTGTACCACTACTACACCATCAGCGACTTCAACTTTTAGTCATCTTTGTCAATTCAGGTCAATGATTGATAGCCACTCACTCACTCAGGCGTCGACTCTTAACAAAACGGGACGAAAAGGTCTACAGATAAAAAACGGTCTACCTTGACTTTATCAGGAGCCGTAAGCATGACGGTAGCAACAAGAGCCCCTGCTGAGGACCCCGCGTAGGACTTGAGCGAGGCAAGCAGCTTATCCCCATGATGGAGAAAAGCCCCCGCAGATCCCAGGTGGTAGATGCCCAAAAAACCACAGGCAGCGAAGGACAAGTTCACCACAGTCATTCTGAAAGAATACATCATATCAGATGACATATTACACTGAAGGACGTTTCGATGGTAACCGTAATTACGTCTGAGCGCAAACAAGCGTCAAGACTGCGAAAGTTTGGCGAAACCCACAAGAAAATGTATAGTGTTCACAAAATACATACGTACGAGAGATTGTCATGTCGCCATTGTTGAGTGGAAAAATGCAACAGGAAACAGTTCCGGCTAATATTTCAAAATAAACTTCCATCGATACACGGCATATACAGTATACCTGTATAAATACGATTCGACAGACAGACAGACAGACAGACAGACAGACAGACAGACAGACAGACAGACAGACAGACAGACAGATAGATAGATAGATAGATAGATAGATAGATAGATAGATAGATAGATAGATAGATGGTCAACCGATTAGCACAACCACCTCACACCCCGGCCTTCCTGTGTAGAATTTGCATGTTCTTCCTGTGGCTGTAGATAGATGGTCAACCGATTAGCACAACCACCTCACACCCCGGCCTTCCTGTGTAGAATTTGCATGTTCTTCCTGTGGCTGTAGATAGATGGTCAACCGATTAGCACAACCACCTCACACCCCGGCCTTCCTGTGTAGAATTTGCATGTTCTTCCTGTGGCTGCATGGCGTTTTCTCCCGTTACTCCAGTTTCCTCTCAAATTCCCAAAGCATCCATGGTAGATTAATTGAATACTCTAAATTGTCCCTAGGTGTGACTGTGAGTGTGCCTTGCAATTGGCAACCAGTTCAGGGTGTACCACCACCTGTTACTAGAAGACAACTGGGTTAGGCTCCAGCACTCCTGCAACCCTCATGAGGACAAAGCGGATAAGATAATGTATGGTATAGAGTGGAGTTAGATCAGTATGTTGCCTAATGAGCAAAGACAGCTAACTGGCATCAGGTCAACCCAGTGCTTCTCAGTTATTTTCTGTTCCACCTCCTCGGAATACAACATAAAAATAACAATCTTATACTGTGTTTTACTTAACCACATATTTCAACTCATTAAAGTTTCTCAAGGCTAAACTCATGAAAAACTTCACTCTGATTGTCATAACCAGCGACTTTGTATCACCCGAGAAATGAATTATTTTTTGGGGGAATCTTTGGAAAATGATAAATATAGCTTCTGAAGTCGTCAGAACAGTTTAACAGAGGTCAAACTGCTGCTGTGGCGCCTCACTGTGATTTAATTACTCCCGAGATAACGAGAGGAGGGGTTATTCACTGGAAGAAAAGGCAAGCGAGAGGGGGTGACACCCTCGCCGAAGACGTCCATGAAATTTATGGATAAAAGAAATGAAGAAGTCCAATTTCAGATATCAGACCAATTATCCAAAGCCGGCTTCTGATTAAGTTGGGGGTGACAAAAAGTGATGTCGGGGCCATAATTCAAACCGCATATGCTGCTTAGCTGTGCTGTTGGTGTGGAAACGTTGCTTACCTACACTCAAGCACAGAGCTTTGAAAGTCATCACAAGTTCATACAGGCTGAAAATACAAAGCCGCTGAGAGATCACAATGCTTTGGCTCATCTAAAGGTGCAACACAGAAGTCAAAATTAAATACGTCAACTGTAATATTAGACACCACCCCAGTTTTAAGGCACCACTTTATTTACGGTATATTGCTTTTAATGCGTACCGGTACCCTTTTTCTGGTTTGTCTAACCAACTGAAGTCTCATTTTTTTAATGTGCCTATTTGTGTTGTTTGAGTGGATGGAGGGTGTGTATATAGTGCTACCTCTACTTACGAAATTAATATCATCTGGAAGAAATTACTTCACGAGAACATTTTGTGTCATGATTCGGTTTGGGACACCCTGCTCCTCCCTCCTGCCTGCTTTTTGGGTCCAACACCACCTTGCAACGTGACATTTTGTAAGTAGAGACGTGTTTTCCATGTCAATGCCCTAATCCGTTGCAGCCCCCACCCCTAAAATTAAGAAATAAATGTTTTCCAAAGTATAAAAACGAATCAAAATATGTAACAAATACATGTTACAATTAATTAGATTATTACACAATAAATGGCAGTTGTGCATAATGTAAAAAAATAAGAATACGCGGGGCAGAGGTCCCTCTTAACCAATGGGATGCCGGGAAGATGCTCGGTAATAGCCAATGGCAGAGCAGCTATGAGTATGTTGCGTTCAAGAAACTCGGAGCTACGAGAAGCAGCCCACACTGTATTTTTTTACCTTTCGTGTCTTGAATTTTCTTTTGTACCAAGACGCAATTATTTTCCTGTTGAGGCATTTCATAACTTGAAAATTTCATATGAAGAGACGTTTGTAAGTAGAGGTATGTATGTGCAATCTCCCTATTTACGCAATATTTGCTTTGACTGATATCCAAGATGGTAGCTTACACGCTGACAATTCCATGCGACTTTTTCTCTTTACGCTGCCATGGCGCATATCCAAATCATGCCATTTGAGAGCGAAACTATGGAATTGTGTCAGTTGCCCCAAGCAGCTTACACCCAGCCTCGGGGTGTTTCATACACTGATCTCTTATATTGACTGAACGTCAATGTTTCTTTTCAATCTTTTTGAGGGAAGAGCAGATCTGTGGCCACCGCGGCAATGCGAGAAATGCAATTACAGTATCCCTTCTTAATCCGCTGTACAATTCAAATGATTTAGAAGGTTCCATTTGAATCATTTTATTATGGATAGTTATTTTAACATTCAAAAAGGTCATTCTTGAAGCGGTCGAACTTGAGGCATTGTATTCAACTGGGATAGATTCCTCTCAGACATAAAAAAAAAAAACTCGTCAAGAATAAATTGCTTGTTATCAAACGTGGAACGGGTGGATTCGCTCTGTGGGTTTTATTTTGATTAAATATTTATATTTTGTTCTAAAAATGAGTTTTAAAAAAATACTTCTTTGAACTAGGAGGGAAAAAAAAGACTGCTTGATTTGTTTTTGTCTCAGTAGCCCAGTAACATCTCATCTTGACTCACTGCAGTTCTACTTAAGTATACCCTAAAGGCTCTTCCTGCAAACCCAAGAAAAGGAGTGTCAAAATAGGAAGCTAAGTGAGCAATCACTGGCACAAGGTAGGCAATCCCTAGTAAGGTGATAGAATCAGTTTTGATTTCTCTCATAGGGCTCGATATTCATGCACGGCGTAGCTGCGTTCAAGTGTAAAAACTGCTGTACCGGTATCTTGATTTTCGTGCTGGTGCAAACCTCCTTTCGCGTGCTTGGGAATTTGGCAGACCACTCTGAGCCGATGTTCTCGCTAATTTTCTGAGCATTCATCCAAACTCCCTGAGTCTCCTTTGGACCACGTTGAGGAACATCAGACATTCACACGGTGGCTACACCAGTATCACACCTCTCCAAAACCTGAGATCATAATAAGTTACCAGATGTAGGTTTGTTATAAAAAAACAAAACAAAACAAAACCCTGTATCTATTAATATACAACATCATTAAATAGAGATCTGTGACACGGATAAAATAAGCCTAAATTTGTAACAACTAGTTCAGGATTGAGGATTTTATGTTGTAAATTAGCCCACATGAACTTGAATTGTGAAGAAAACGGAAGCAAATTCTGGAATCCAGTGCTGATTTCGTTCTAAAAATAAATTATGCCTTCAACGTTTACTATTTTATATTTTAACAAAATATAGGAAGTGAAGAGTGACATGAGGGATGCTTTTCATCAACAATATGAGTATAAAAATGGCTCAAAATTCTATTCAATGTTCCATAATGTCAAAACTAAATAACTGTAAAAGTGTTGGGATGTTTCAATTATTCGACAATAATCCTCAAGAAAGATTTGAAGGACTTTACCTAGCCCAGTAAATGTGAATTTTGTCTCAGCTGGGATAGGCTCAAGCACGCCTATGACCCTTGCAAAATGGATGGACGGATGGATCGATTAGAAGATGATAACATTAATAATAAAAGTCTTTGGCGCCAAGTATTAGCAAAATAACATCAGCTGTGAGAACATTGGAACAGATTTTAAAAGCAGGACAAAGTGGCGTATATTTCATAATTCACATTTTATAAAATAATAAGCAAAAGTAGGGAGGGGGCGGGGGAGGGCAGTCTGACTATGTTTGCCTCGGGCATTGAAATGACTATAGTGCTACAGCCTGGATTGAGCCAACAAAGTGCGCTAATTCGCGTCTCATGCATTGTTGACGCGAGGCAGCGCTGAGCGAATGTGAGTTGCACGACGCACGGGCTTCAGTTGTGCAGGGATATTCTGACTAAAGCAATGAGGTTCTATTCCCCGCTGAGCTATGAGGGGGATCGGTGAGATGACGAGCGGAGGGCACGAACGCTAAACAACGCTGCGTCTCCATTTGTCTAATACATTGTAGCTATTTTTGTTCGTTTTCAAACAGTTTGAGTCATTTAAAGTCACTTGAATATTGTATTTAAAATAAACCCAGACGCGCTAAGTTCTCCTCTTTACAACATGGGAGCCAGATGTATTTCCAGTCCGTTGCACACGATAGCGTTAAATGGCTGCATGCTGCAGGTAAAGACCCTCAAGAGACAAACATCATGTCCTTAACTAATTTCAACAACATGCAGGGGGCTCATAAACAGACGTCCCTCGGCACTCTCTGTTTTCAAATCGCGTGTTCAATTACAGTGTGGGAGCACATAGCTCCCCGCAGCATGTAAATACTGATCAATAGCACGAGACGCATCCGTGGGCATAAGAAGTGCTCCGGCGCCTTGTTTGGGCCCCTGGTCAGAGGAAGATGTCCTCCGGCTCATTCCATTGATCACAGCTGACCCGGAAATGCTGAGCCGGGAGGCTGGAATAATTAGCTGCGGCATTCATTAAGAGTGGTCTGAAAGCCAAAGTGCAAACATGGTACAGGGACGCGTCATATATTGCGCCGCGATAGAGAGCTCATTGATATGTTGATGCGGTGCAGTGAACACCTCACTTACACTGCCACGCTCATCGTTGATGTATGCTTGTTTTCTCAAAAGCCTCTGGGTAATCTGTTCATTTAGTTCAAGGTCGTTTACTGCAGCGTGTCGCATAGATTTCATTCAGTTTAGTGGGAGTGTAATAGATGCTAAAATGTCACACCCTCTCCCTTTTTGGAAGACCTTGTGCATTGTTGAACAGTTCTCACTTCACGGTACTCTGCATAATTCTTACGACGCCACTAAGTTGTTGTTTTGATGACCTTTTTCACAGCCCTCGTTTTCGCCGGGGCACTAAAATAGTTTAGAGATA